GGACGTTTCATATTGTGAAAAATTTGTAAACCGAAACGCGTTTTCCCATAGGAATGCATTGAAAACGAATTACCGTATTTTACGCTCCATAAGACGCACTTTTTACCCCCCAAAAAAGGGGGGAAAATGTCAGTGCGTCTTATGGAGCGAATATGGAGCGGCCGGTCCGGTATTTCCACTGCCGCCGTGTCAGAATACAGGGCCGGCCGCTCAGCCCTGCAGCGGGACCTTACCTGTTCCTCTATGCAGTGTCGCGCTGTCTTCCTGGCTTCTGTAGTGTGGGCGCTCGGCTTGACAGCCGGGTGCCCAGTGCGCATGCGCGGGAAGCGGTGCGCTTTGTGAATGGTAAGGCGGCACCTGGGACACATGACAGGTCCCAGAAGCCGCCGGACCAATCACAAAGTGCAGCGCTTCTCGCTCATGCGCACTGGGCACCTGGCTGTCAAGCCGAGCGCCCACACTACAGAAGCCGGGAAGACAGTGCAGCACTGGATAGAGGAACAGGTAAGGTCCCGCTCCAGAGCGGGCACTAACCAAAGAACAACTCCGCGGAAGTAAGAGCGGGTACCTTTTAAATTCAGGTACCCGTTCCCCCCCCTCCCCAAAGGTCAGCAGTCATCTCCTGTACTGTCCGCAGTCTCTGGTCATCTCCTGTGCTGTCCGCAGTCTCTGGTCATCTCCTGTACTGTGTCCGCAGTCTCTGGTCATCTCCTGTACTGTGTCCGCAGTCTCTGGTCATCTCCTGTACTGTGTCCGCAGTCTCTGGTCATCTCCTGTACTGTGTCCGCAGTCTCTGGTCATCTGCTGTACTGTGTCCGCAGTCTCTGGTCATCTCCTGTACTGTGTCCGCAGTCTCTGGTCATCTCCTGTACTGTGTCCGCAGTCTCTGGTCATCTCCTGTACTGTGTCCGCAGTCTCTGGTCATCTCCTGTACTATGTCTGCAGTCCATTGGTTTAGAATATTTTTTTTTCCTGTTTTCTGCCTCTAAAACCTAGGTGCGTCTTATGGTCAGGTGAGTCTTATGGAGCGAAAAATATGGTAATCAATTCCAGAGGTCAGAAAAAAGTAAATAAAAAGTATTCTATCTGTTCAGAACTCTTAATAAAGTTCACTTTAAAGGCATAAATACTATACAGGGACATGATTAAAAATTTCCAAAATGGCTTCAAAACTCGATGCAAAAATTGCTTGAACACCTCCACGCTTAACGCTACGTGCTACCCACAGACTCCTCCAGCATGCATGGAGCCAGCGCTATAAACCTCCCAGGTGCAATTCATCCCAGGGAAACTTGCTTCGTATTGTGAAAAAAATTTGTAAATGCATTGAAAACCAAATAATCCATTCCGGAGGTCAGAAAAAAGTTTAAAAAAAGTCTTATCTGTTCAAAACTCTTTATAAAAGTGCACTTTAAAGGCACGGGGCTGGCACTATAAACATCCCAGGCACAATGCATCCTGGGGAAACTTGCTTCGTATTGCGAAAAAAAATCATAAACTGAGGCATTATTTTCAATGGAATTTTCATTCGTAAACCAAAAATTACGTTAACTGAGGTGTTCATGAACCGAGGAACGCCTGTATTGTAATACATTATAGCTTGCCAGTTCCTAGATATAGTGGCTGCGTTTATCAGGCCTTTTTCACTTGGTAATCCTGCCAGTAACATATTTCCTGTTTTAGGGTCACAACGCTCTCTCCTCCACTGCATCTATGGAGGGTGCCATAGTTCTTGCACTAGGCTGCTCTCCTGATTTGGACTACAAACACCTCTTTCTCTTTTTATCTCCATTACATGGGGGGCAAGAGAATTTGTAGTTTACAGAAGACAGATTGAAAGAAAGGTAACACTGTGATTTCAGTTCAGCTCACAGAAGTAACAAGCACACTGTTCTTGGCAAGATCAATAGGTATTTACTGTATTTGCTGAAATGTTAGCCTGAAAAAGAAGACTAATGTTGCCGCCACATTCAATACTGGAACTCTGCAATATACCAAATTTTTTTCTAGGGTATGTTAGATATGCTTTAACCACTTCTAGAACGGCTCATGTACATAAATGGCCGGATGGGAGCAGTGCAGGAGCAGGTAGTCGTTTATAAACAGCCGCATTATTCACTGCCTGTGGGCGCTCCCTGGGAGTGCGCGGCACTGTGACCCCGGTACCTGCAGTGTCCTCCGAACACAGCGGAACACCGATCGCTGTACAGGACCTCTGTGAGAGGTCCCGATTCATTTGATCACTGATTGGCCAATCGGTGATCACCGGAACAGTAGTAAACAAGATGTCACTTCCTGACATCATTGCTTACTACGTGTGAAATCTGTGAATGATCACAGAGGTCACATGGTACAAGACTATTCACAACAGCCTTGTACCATGTGACAAGCTGTGATGAATCACAGCTCTCACAGTATTTCTCAATGGCTGCAAGAATGCAGCCAGAGAGAAGGAGAAATGATTTATTTTACAGCCGTTATGGGTGTGAAAGCAATCAGTGTAAAAAAAGAAAAAAAAATCTTCATCACCCCCCACAAGTAGTACAGTGTCACTATGGTGACACTGTACTGCTAGGGTGATGGTATGTTAAAAAAAACATAAATAATAATATAAAAAAATAAAATAAAAATGTAAAAACATTTTTTAAAAATTATAATTTTTGGTTATGAACTAATTTGGGTAATTTTTTTTTACTAAATAGATGAATACATTTTGGCCAAGATTTATGAAGAAAGATTATTTATCTGCAAAATTTTCTAAGAAAAGCACCTTTTTTTTCAAAATGTTTGGACTTTTCCACTTTTCCCAGTGGTGAATAAATACCACCAAAATAAAGGTTTATCTGTCTCAAAAAAATGCTAAAAAATTCATATGGGTACAGTGTTGCATGACTGCGCAATTGTCATTCAAAGTGTGATACCACTGAAAGCTGAAAATTGGCCTGGACAGGAGGGAGGTGAAAGTATCCGGACTTGAAGTGGTTAAGGGCCTGTTCACACCAGCCTGCATGCTAGAATGGACTTGGGGTTTTAGACCTCATTCACACGGGAGTATCTATGCATGCACCCATGTGAAGGGCTGTCTTTGCCCACATGAGATGTACAGGTGTGTAAGGAGATAAAACTGGCATCCATTTTGTATAATGCTTCCATTTATGATATGTAAACAGTTAGGAAGCGAAACTCAAGAACAAAAACTATTTCTCTGTAAACGGATTCACCTTACATGGTATCCCCCAGCCATTTGTAGTTTCTGTTCTTCAGGTAACTATCCTGATAAGAGTGGAATGTTTCCTTGGTTATCCTGAATTACGCAAAGCCTATTGAGTTCTGTAGAACAGTTCTTGTCTTGCATTAAACTTTCAGAGATACAGCTTTAACATTTCGGTGTCTGGAGCTTTATTTCTCCTAGATCCAGAGGCAGAGATAATCAAGGACAAGTTGGGCTACAGACAGAAATTGATCCTATCACAGGTGTTCTGTGCATCCATGTGTAGCCAGTCCCATTCACCTATACTGTGAAGAAGTGGCTACACGAACACAGCTTCTGGTCCCAATTCCATAGCTGTACGGATGCATGTTCCTTAACCCCTTGGTGCTGGCGCCTTCCGACCCTTTAAGGGTTTCAGAAGCTGGGAGGCGGGTGGGGTTTTAGGGTCATTTGACCACCATGATTCGCTGGCACGCCGGTCACATAATCGGGAAGTACCGGAAGTCCGTGAGTACCGAACATGTGTGCTGGGAGCGCTCAGGGCGTGCGCTCTCAGCACATATGTTATTTTTAATTGCACGCAAATGTGTGGTCGCTCGGCGTCAAGGCCCAGACGCCAAGAGGCCACACATTTGCGTGCGCTCAGCATGAACAGGTTAATGTAAACGGGGGGGGGGTTACTAAAACTGGAGCACTCAGAATCTGGCATAGCTGTGCGTGGTAGCCAATCAGTTTTCTAACTTCAACTTGTGCAATTAAGCTTTGGAAATAAAACCTGGAAGCTGATTGGTTTCTATGCAGGGCTGCACCAGATTTTGCATGCTTCATTTTCACTAAATCCCCCCCAATCCATGTTTGTGTACACACACACCCGCATGACCGTACAATTTGGACCAGTGGACTACCTGCCTGCAGATGCATGGAACACGCTCTCTCTAAAACCGAATTGACAATATTCCCTCCCCCTTGTGCACTTCTACATGACTTTTCCATCAAGATCAATAATACAACTATCAGTCCCTCCACTCACGGCAGGGTACTTGGTGTAATCCTACACTCTGACATATTCTTTTGGCCCCAAATCCAATTGTTGTCAAAAGCTTGTAGACTTCACCTTTGTAAAATCTCTAAAATTCGCCCCTTTTTAACCAATGAAACCGCCAAGCTACTTGTTCACTCCATTGTTATCGCTCGCCTTGACTATTGCAACTCCCTTCTCATAGGCCTACCTCTCTGTAGGCTATCCCCTCTTCAGTCTAACATGAATGCTGCTGCCAGGATCATCTACCTTACCAACCGCTCAGTGTCTGCCACCCCTCTCTGCCAATCCCTCCACTGGCTTCCGATTGCCCAGCAAAATAAATTCAAAATACTAACAACATACAAAGCTATCCACAACTCTGCCCCGAGCTACATCGCCAATCTTGTCTCCGAGTATCATCCAAACCATCCTCTCCGCTCCTCTCATAATCTCCTGCTCTCAAACTCCCTTGTCTCCTCCTCCCATGCTCATTTCCAGGACTTTGCCAGAGCCTCTCCCATCCTCTGGAACTCTTTACCTCAATCTGTCTGGCTATCCCCTACTCTGGCTGCCTTTAGGCAATCCATGAAAACTCATTGCTTCAGGGAAGCCTGTCACACCTCTGAATAGACATTTATCACTTCCATCAGCTCATCCCCCACAGTTTTAAACTTTTGTACCACTTGCCCCACCCTATTAGATTGTAAGCTTTTATGAGTAGGGCCCTCTTAATCCCCTTGTTTTGATTGTATTGTAGCTGTACTGCACGATTGTCAACCTGGCAGCCCTCCAGCTGTTGCCAAACTACAAGTCCCATGAGGCATTGCAAGATTGTCAGTTACAAGCATGACCCCCAAAGGCAGAGGCATGATGGGACTTGTAGTTTCTCAGCATCTGGAGGGCCGCCTGTTTGACACCCCTGCTGTACTGTCTCCCTTTGTATTGTAAAGTCCTGGTCAAACTGTCGGCACTACGTCCTGTATAATGATAAAAATAATAATAATCATGTGCAGGCAAAGACAGTATTCGCAGTGGTGTACACATAGGTATGCCCATGTGAACGGGGCTCAGCATGCGGGCTTGTACCTGTTGTCTAGTGGCGGTGAGGAGTGGTGCCTTGTTACAATGTAAGACAAGCTTTACCTTTTATTTTCTCTTGTCATAAAATTGCATTCATCTCCATCACTGTGATGTATTGACATGCAGTTCAAAAAGAAGCTGCATGTCTGCATTTTTACGCAAATACGCTGCAACCCACCTCAACGCAGCATTATGGTCAGTGATGATAGGATCCAAACCCACCTGTGCAAGGCCGTCAGGAAGCTGTCACCTGCATGAGCCAATCACCTGCAGCTGGGGCATTCTGCACATCGATATGTTCTTTGTATACAGGCTACCACTGTGGGATGGAGAATGCCCTGGCCGCAGGCTATTACTGTGGGATGGAGAATGCCCTGGCCGCAGGCTACCACTGTGGGATGGAGAATGCCCTGGCCGCAGGCTACCACTGTGGGATGGAGAATGCCCTGGCCGCAGGCTACCACTGTGGGATGGAGAATGCCCTGGCCGCAGGCTATTACTGTGGGATGGAGAATGCCCTGGCCGCAGGCTACCACTGTGGGATGGAGAATGCCCTGGCCGCAGACTACCACTGTGGGATGGAGAATGCCCTGGCCGCAGGCTACCACTTGGGATGGAGAATGCCCTGGCCGCAGGCTATCACTGTGGGATGGAGAATGCCCTGGCCGCAGGCTACCACTGTGGGATGAAGAATGCCCTGGCCGCAGGCTACCAGTGTGGGATGGAGAATGCCCTGGCCGCCGGCTACCAGTGTGGGCTGGAGAATGCCCTGGCCGCAGGCTACCAGTGTGGGCTGGAGAATGCCCTGGCCGCAGGCTACCAGTGTGGGCTGGAGAATGCCCTGGCCGCAGGCTACCAGTGTGGGATGGAGAATGCCCTGGCCGCAGGCTACCAGTGTGGGATGGAGAATGCCCTGGCCGCAGGCTACCACTGTGGGATGGAGAATGCCCTGGCCGCAGGCTACCACTGTGGGATGGACAATGCCCTGGCCGCAGGCTACCAGTGTGGGATGAAGAATGCCCTGGCCGCAGGCTACCACTGTGGGATGACAAATGCCCTGGCCGTAGGCTACCACTGTGGGATGGAGAATGCCCTGGCCGCACGCTACCACTGTGGGATGGACAATGCCCTGGCCGCAGGCTACCAGTGTGGGATGGACAATGCCCTGGCCGCAGGCTACCAGTGTGGGATGGACAATGCCCTGGCCGTAGATGATCGGCCTATACCTGGGTTCAGATCCTAGTCTGAACCTGCCCAAGCTCATGACTATCCCTGATGTGAACAGAGCACATAGAAAACAATTAATTGTTATGTTCCCTTGCATCATGCCTGCGTTGATCTATGCAGTCCATCGCAGGTCAGTGGACATGGTGTGAATGAGCCCTAAATAGGACAACCAGGAGTTTATGGTGACAGCAAATGAAAGTTCTTTTCACCGGTTTACATAGAGAACATCCACACTGCAATCCCTACTGCAAAATGTGTGAATCATACAAATGCCAACAGCATCTATAATAAAGCCTGATTAAAGCGATCATAGAACACTGTGCAGCTGGTTATCTCCTGATTAAAAAAAAAAAAATAAAAATCTGACAGCATACCAAGGAATCAACACAGTGTCCAGTGACCAAGAGCCCCTCATTGGACAAAGTGTGCCAGGTGCTGGCTACAAAGAAATGCAAATGATGGAAACACAGAGAAATGTTTGTAGAAGCAGAGAAGACATGACTGACAGCATGGAGGGGCAGGGAGCACAAAGGGGGCCTGCGATCAGAGCTGCTTTACCTGCTGGAGGGGGTCCTACATGTAGCCCAGGATGACAGTGGAGGGCTCATAGCTGTCCTAGCTGCAGGGGACCATGTTGTCTGGTGCGGTCAGTGCAGAGCCAGGCAGCTGGGAGGAGGAGGAGGAGGAGGATGAGGGATCCACATGCAGGCAGGAATGGAGCACGGATTGCAGCCAGTATGTGTGAATGTATGTGAGTGTGTCTCCCCTCCCCGAGGAAAGGAGGCGGTGATCAGAGCTCAGGAAGGGATGGTGGTGCTGTCTACAGGACTGTATGCCATTCTACAGGCTGGATTAGGTTTCATCTGCTGGGCTAGTAACCCCTCTGATGCCAGCAGATCTGCACTGCATTGATGGGACTGGCATCACCCACTGTCAGGGATGTCCAGACTCAGGATGCGTCAGAGCTTGGCATCCCCTACCACAGCTAATGCCAAGCTGGCCTTGATGCAGTATGCTGCTGACAGCATTGGGATCCACAAAGGCCATGGATGGATTCAGAAAATGGAATCTCATTTCTAAAATATAGAATTTCTTTAGAGGAAACTGTCATCTGTGCAATATATATATATATATATATATATATCCTAGATTGTAAGCTCTAACGAGCCGGGCCCTCTGTTTCCTCTTGTATCAAACTGTATTGTGACTGTAATGTCTACCTTCATTTTGTAAAGCGCTGTGCAAACTGTTGGCGCTATATAAATCCTGTATGATAATAATATCTATATATATGTGTGGAGGTGGCCTTTAAAAAATGGCTTGGAATAATAAATATCTTTATTAGGAAGGAAGCAACACTTATAAATAAATACATCTCCTAGATTGTAAGCTCCAGGGAGCAGGGCCCTTCTATCCTTCTTTTATCGAACTGTATTGTTGCTGTATTGTCTCCCTTTATATTGTAAAGCACTGAGCAAACTGTTGGCTCTATATAAATCCTGTATAATAATAATAATAACAACATCTGCTTTAACTAAGTGGGCAACACAGTGGCTAACTGGTTAGCACTTCTGCCTGGCAGTACTAGGGTTGCTGGTTCGAAATACAACCACAGCACCACCTGCCTGGAGTTTGCATGTTCTCCCTGTGTATGTGTGGGTTTCCTCCCACACTCCAAAGACATGCTGGTAGGTGAATTGGCTCCTGTCTAAATTGTCCCTAGTATGTGTATGTATGACTGTGAGTTAGGGACCTTAGATTGTATGCCCCTTGAGGGTTAGGGACTGATATGAATGTATAATATATATGTAAAGTGCTGCGTAAATTGACGGCGCTATACAAGTACCTGAAATAAATAAGTGGCTCTATAAGGGGTGTAAAGGGAAATGGAATCCTGAGCAGCCTGGCTAATAGACAGTAGTAAGCCATCTAGTGGCCAGTATTGCTGGCACACTTGCCCTGCTAGTTTTATATCAACCTTTTTTAAAGCAGAACTTCTCCCAAAAAAGGAAGTTCCCCTTGTTGGCACCCCCCTCCCCTCCACTGCCATTTGGCATTTTTTTGGCACAGGTTTTTTTGGAGTATACCTTTGTTTTGATCACAGGTTCCAGAAGACTGTGGGACCAATCACAAAAGCCTAGTGCCACTTGCACATGCACAGTAGGAGACCCGCTGTGAAGCTGGAAGGCTTCACTGCTGGTTTCCCTAAGTTAAGGTGCTGGTACCGGTGCCTGCACCCAACACCTATTAATAAAATTGACCCGGTTTCGGACAACACCAGATACCTGGACATGTAAGTGCACTTAAATACAAATACTGTAGCTGCTGACTTTTAATTTTTTTTTTTTTTAGTCTGGAACAGCTTTAAAGTGGTTCAAAGCCTCAAGATTTTTTTACCTTAATGCGTTCTATGCATTAAAGTGACACTAAAGTCTTGTTTTTTTTTTTTCTTAAAAATAACAAATATGTCTATACTTACCTGCTCTGTGCAGTGGTTTTGCACAGAGCAGCTCGGATCCTCCTCTTCTCAGGTCCCCACAGGCGCTCCTGGTCCCTCCCTCCTGCATGTCTGCATGTCTATTCACACACAGAGCTACGGCTCAGGCCTGCCCCCTCCCTCTCCTGATTAGCTGACTGACTGTGATTGACAGCAGTGGGAGCTAATGGCTCCCGCTGCTGCCTTAGCCAACCAGGAATGAGGGTCTCCAGGGAACCAAGGCTTTCGTGGACATGGCTGGATCAAGAGGGGCTCAGGTAAGTGGGGGGGCTGCTACACACAGAAGGTTTTTTTACCTTCATGCATAGAATGCATGAAGGTAATAAACCTTGAGACTTTAGAACACTTTACTTAAAAAACCTTCTCTCTCCCCCTCAACCCTTGGGTTGCCAGGCCAATTTTGCAATTTTTTCTTTGTTTTATTATTTTTCCTTTATAGCTTTCAGAGTTTGTAAAATCCCCCCCCCCCCCCAAACCATACATACATTTCTGAAAGCACATGACCAGTGGAATGAAATAATATATGTTTTCATTAAAATACACTAAAATCATTATTAACAACTAGAAACACAGCAAATTTTACATACAGGTGTACCTCTGTTTAAGAATTTAATGCATTCTCCGGGACGTTTCGTATTGCGAAATATTCATAAACTGAAACACGGTTTCCCATTGGAATGCAAACCCATTAATTTGTTCCGGAGGTCAGAAAAAAGTTAAAAAAAGTCGCTGTCAATATATGTCAATGCCAGTTTTTAAATGTAATTACTGGCTTTTTTTCTTTACTCAGAGAATCAGCTGTCACTTCCACCCCAGCAAAAAGAAAGAAAGTTTCCTTTTAGTTTGTTTCCCAAGATAAAAACAAAGTATCCTATAGCTCCAGGGAAAGTGAGAGCTAATTCTGTGAGCTATAGTGAAGAAAAATAAAAGCCAGCAATTGCATTTAAAAATCGTCACCAACATACACCTTGTATTAAGAAAAGAATTAGTAAAAAATGTGTAAAACTGAGGTATTATTTCAATGGATTTTCATTCATAAACCAAACATTATGTTAACTGAGGCATTCGTAAACCGAGGTACACCTGTAATTCCTAATAAATTCCAACTAAATATAAAAGCTTAACC